TAATAACAAAAGCAGTAAGAAATAAAAGTAAAGAAGAAGTAGCAAATTTAGTATTAAATGAAGTAATTTTAAAGTATGGTTTACCTGTTGAGATTAGGATGGATAACGGTAAGGAATTTATTAATAATGTTATGGAAGAACTAGCTAAATTTTGGAAAATAAAGTTGACAAAGAGTCCACCCTATCATCCTGAAGCCAATGGATTAACAGAAAGAACAAACCAGTCAATCATAATTAAGTTATCTAAGATTATTGGTGGAAATAAAATGAACTGGGAAGAGGATATTAGCATGGTAACTTTTATGTATAATATTAGTCCAATAGCTAAATTAGGAAGATCACCATATGAAATTTTATTTGGAAAGGAATGTAATTTAAAATTGAATGCTGAAAAAATAGCTCTTACAGATGTTGAAAGAAATTTGATGTATGAATTGATAAAAGAAAGAAAAAATTTAATTGAAGATGAAATTAAAGAAAAATGGAAAAAGAAATTAGTAAAATTAGAAAAAAGAAATTAGTAAAATTAGAAAAAAATATTAATAGGAAATCAGGTATTGATTTTAAAGAAAGTGATGTAGTTTTAAGAAGAAACTTTTTAAGAGATAAATTAGATAAAAAATGGATTGGACCTTATTTAATTGTTAGACAATTTAATAATGGAACATATCTTATTAAGTCTATTGAAGATGGTCAAGAAACCATGATTCATAGAAACGATCAAGTTAAGCTGGAAAATTCTGAAGAAGAAACTGGTTCCAAATTTGAGTGGAACCTGACCAGAGAAGGGGGAGTGTTACCTAAAGGAATGCTTCAGTTTAAAATTAATAACGGTAAAACTTTTAATTAAAAGTTTTACCCATCGAAATTAATAAAATGATTAATAATAAGAAAGATTTTAAAGTTGAGAATATTAAAGACTTAGAAGCTCAGAAGATGAGCATTGAAGAATCAACAGAGATCATAGTGGATCCAAATGGTAATAATATTCACATTCACATTTTAATTAGTTAACACTCTAAATATTTTACTATTAAAAAATAAATTGTTTATAAATTATACTATGAATATTTATATTTATAAGAAAAAATTCATTTTATCAAAAAAAAATGTCGTTAAAAGATTTATAAAGAGATGATACTACTAAAATTAATTTGGTTCGACGTGAATTATTAAAAAATGTTGTTAAAACAAGAACTTCAATGATTTATTAGTGATATTAAGATTTAATAAATATAATATTTTTTTTATTTTTTTAAGGAAAATCGAATTATTTTTGCTTTTATGAAAATTTAAAATTTAATCTGAAATATTTAGTAAAAAGCAATATCTTATTTTACTTAAATATAATGCTAAACATTTAAAGATCATAAATGGTGTAAAAACTGAAATATTTAAATCATAAAAATTTACAATATCTTCTTTCAAAATACTTATGATATAGAAAAAACATTTATTATATATCTTAAAAATATATAAAACATTATATTATTGACTAATAAATTACAAACCTATCACAAGAGAAATATATTGTATATTTTTATTTAAATCATATTTTTTTTCTGAATTAAAGAAATCAGTAATTAAAAGACATTTCTAAATACTGGATTTTTTAGTAAAATAAATCACACATAAAATTTATCAATAAATTTTTTAGTGAAAAAAACTTACTTTATAGTAATTAATAGTCTGTGTCAATAAACTTTTTTTATTATGAAAATAAAAAAATATATACATATAACGAGACGATTTATTAAAATTTGTTAGTAAGAAAATTGATAGAATGTCTATAGATGTCTAAATACTTTATTATAATATCGACATAAGAATGTCGAAATATCTTTCACACTTATACAAAAGTTTTAAACAGTAAAAAATCTTTAGTTGGACCTATTATTTTTAACCCAATAAAATTATAGATAGAATTATCGAAAATTAAACCTTTTAATTTTTGATGAATATAATGATTTTTGCAGCTAATTAAACAAAAAAACCGAGTGTTATTTTATAATCAACATTATAAACTTTTCAATTATATAAACAATTCAATTATGGTTTTTTAATTGGCAATCAATATCATATTATTTTAAATTATTTAAATAACTACTGAATCAATTGAGTATAATAGTCAGTTAACTATGATTTTTAAGTCAATATAATGATTCTTGCAACAATACATAAAATAACCAAATCAATTATATAATTACGTTTCATATGAAATTTACAATGAATAAAAGTTAAAATTATTCAAAAAAAATTTCTTCGGTTGTTGTTATAATTAAAAAATTCAATGCATTTTTAAAATAAATCATAGTAATTTCATAATAGAATTCTTCGAAAAAAAAACTTTTTGGTTGAGTTTTGTTTATAAAAATTTTTTATATGAGTAAATTTATCTGAATGAAGAAATTATTTTTTAGATTTAAAAAAACGATTAAAGAGTTTTTTACTTAAGAATATGTTGAAAGAGTTTCTCGTCTCCCAAATGTTTTTTATAATAAAAGATTTAGTTATTATCTACAATGGTGGAAAAAAATAAAGCTACCAAAAAATATTATGAAAACTATGAAAATTTTATATTTATTCATATAACTGCTCAATTCTCTTGGATACAAAGTTTACTAAATTTTCACATATCTCTTATGATATTTTTAATTA